TCTTTTATGTATCTATAGTATCTGTAGTGATAGTTCCTCTTTCATTCCTGGTATTAGATGTTTGTGTTCTATTTTTTTTTCTCTGATCAGTCTGGTTAGAGGTATATCAATTTTATTAATTTTCTCAAGGAACCAGCTTTTGGTTTCATTGATTTGCTCTACTGTTTTTGTTTTCTGTTTCATTGATTTATACTCGATCTTTATTGCCTCATTTCTTCTGCTTACTTTGGGTTTTGCTCTCCTTCTTTTCTAGTTTTTTTTTTTTTAAGGTATAAAGCAAGGTAATTGACTTGAGAACTTTCTTTCTTTCTTTCTTTTTTTTAAACACAGGTGTTTAGTGCTATAAACTTTTCTCCAAGCACTGCTTTATCAGGATCCCACATATTTTGATAAAGTGCATTTTTAAATTTGTTTCATGTTATTGTCATACATTTTACTGAAACATATGATATAGAAATCTCAATGACTTTTTGTGTTTATTTAAACAGTAAATTACCTTTTAAAAGTATTTGAAATTTTAAAAATGTTATATATTTACCCTGTAGTTACCATTTTCAGTGCCTTTTACTTGTGTACAGCCAGATTGACCTACTGTATTCCTGCTATCTGAAAGACCTCCTTTAACATTTCTTTTAGTGCAAATCACCTGGTCACGAAGTCTTTATTTTGCCTTCATTTTTGAAAGGTATGTTTCCTGGGTGTAGAATTGCAGGTTAACAGCAATTTCTTTAAGAATTTAAAAGATGCTGCTTGACTTGTCTTGTTGTTTGCATTTTTTTCTTATGAAATCTGTTGACATCCCTGCGTTTTCATCTGTAAATAGTATGTTACTTCTCTAGCTGTTCCCAGCTAGAGATAAGATTTTCTGTTTACCACTGATTTTGAGCAGTTTGTTTATATAATGTGCCTTACTATAGTTTTCTTTATGTTTCTTGTATTTAGGATTCATTGAAATTCTTAGATCTTTAGGTTTACAATTTTTATCAAATTTGGAAAAATTTTGTCCATTATTTCTTCAAATATTTTTCTGCCTCCCCACCTCACTTTCACTTAGGGACTCTCACTACATGCATATTGGGCTGCTTGAAATTGTTCAGTGGTTCATGGAGCCTTTGTTTATTTTTGTTCTTTATTTAATTTTGGATAGTTACTATTGCTGTGTCTTCAAGAGTTCATTAGTTGTTTTTCTGCAGTATCCAACCTGTTGTTAATCACATCCAGTGTATTTCTCATTTAAGTCATTGTAGTTTTCATATCTAAAAGTTCATTTTGGATCTTTGAAGCATTTTTGTGTCTCTAATTAAATGTTCTCTCTCTCTTACCACTTCTTCACCATGTGTAATACAGTTATAGTAACTGCCTCAGTGCCTCCACCTGCTAATTCTGTCATCTGTGTCAGTTTCAATTAATTGTTTCCTCTCCTCATATCGGGGTTGTGTTTTCCTGAGTGTCTGCATGCTTGGCAATGTTTACTTGGATGCCAGGCTTTGTGAATTTTACCTTGTTCGCTGCTGGGTATTTTCTTATTCCTAGCGATATTCTTGAGCTTTTTTCTGTGATGAAGTTAAGCCACTTGAACATAGGCTGATGTTCTCGAACCTTGCTTTTAAGATTTGTTAGCTGGAATTAAAGTAGTGGTTAGTTTATGGTTAATATTGCTGCACTCGGAAGCAAACTCTTCCATGTAGACTACCTGATGTGCCCTTTGGCTGCACCATTTTATATTCCCACCAACAATGCATAAGCATTCCAATTTTTCTACATTTTTGCCCAGACTTGTTACTTCTGGTTTTGTTTTGTTTTGTTTTGTTTTATAATGGCCATACAAACAGGTTTGAGGTGGTATCTCATTGTGGTTTTGATTTACATTTCCCTGATGATTAGTGATATTGAACACCATTTTAAATACCTGTTGGACATTTGTATTTATTCTTTGGGGAAATGTTTATTCCCCAAAGAATAAACATTTTTGCTCATTTTATATATATATATATATTTTTTTTTCTATATTCATCAGAAATACTGGCCTGTAGTTTTCTTGTTGTATCTTTTCCTGGATTTGGTATCAGAGTAATGCTGGCCTCATAAAATGTGTATAGAAGTGTTCTCTTCAGTCTTTTGGAAGAGCCTGAGAAGGATTGGTATGAATTCTTATTTAAATGTTTCACAGAATTCTCCAGTGAAGCCATCTGGTTTGAGGTTTTCCTTTGTTGAGAAAATTTTTATTACTGATTTACTCTCCTCATTAGTTATAGGTCTGTTGAGTTTTTTTTTGTGTGTGTGTTTTCATAAGTTACTCTTGGTAGGTTGTATGTTTCTAGAAATTTATTTCTTATAAGTTATCTAATTTGTTGGCATATAATTGTTCATCATTGTCTCTATAATCTATTTTGCTTGGTATTTTTGTTTTTTAGGGTGAGAAAGTAAATGTGGTTCCTGTTGTTACACAAACTTGGACAGAAGCAGAAGTTTCATTCTGATTGATTTTAGTTACTTTGGGTGAAACATTACCATGTTTCAATGAGGAAGAAATATATATATATATATAATTATACTCAGAAAATATTCCCCACTATTCCTTCCAGCCCATTCTCTCCACCTTTCTTTTCACCCTGTTACTGCCTATTCCCTATAAGAAAGAAATCTCATTAGTTTTCTAGTTGACCCATTTAGTTGGGCTTTTTTGAGTACTAATAACTGTTACATGTATATTTTTTACATCTCTTCTTAAAGATAGTCTTTTGCACTTTTTTTTTTTTTCCCATTTAACAACCTATCCTGGATATCAGTTCATAGAGATTTTCCTCATTCTTTCTGGTGGTTTCCTAGTGTTCTACTGTGGATTTACTGTCATTCAGTCACTCTCCTATGTCTGCGCATTTAGGTTGTTGCCTAACTTTTGCATTTACAAACAATGTTGCAATGAGTAATCTGATACATTTATATTTTCCTATTGGAAGTTTAGTAATCCTGGCTCACTTTGGGAATTTCTACACCAACTAAATGATACAAAATTTGAATCCAAATCTAAATAATATGCAAGTCCAAGAATTCAGTTTCTCATGAGAGCACTGTTTTCACCCCAAACTTGGGAATAAACAAATAACCTATCAACTCGTAGAGATGGTAGGTGAAGTATTTCTAGTCACTGTGTGCCTTAGTCAGTTTGGGTTGTTATAACAAAAGTACCACAGACAGGATGGCTTAAACAACAGGAATTTATTTCTCACGGTTCTGGAGGCTGAGCAGTTCAAAATCAAGGTGCTGACTGATTTGGTTCTTGGTGAAAGCCCTTTTGGTGGTTTGCAGACAGAAGCCTTTTTGCTGTGTCCTCACATGGTAGAGAGAGACATCAACTCTGTAGTCTCTTGTAATACAGGCACCCTAATCCCATTTATGAGGGTTTTACCCTCATGACTCAGTTACTTCCCAGAGGCCCACCCTCCAAACACCATCACATGGGGGATTATAAAGATTCAGTCTGTGAATTTGAGGTGGACACAAATACCCAGTCCATAGCACTGCAGGTATAGTTTTTGAAGACCCTAGCTTTATGTGTTAGTCTCAATTCCAACTTCTTACCTTGCATAGACCGAAGGCCTCTTCTGCTGCCCTCCCCTTACAATACAAGCCTATAGTTGTAACCTTATTCTACAGGCCTTTATAAAGACTGCCAGGGGTGGTGGTTCTCTGCTAGTTAATACTGTATTTTAAAAAATTCACTTTTTTCTAGCATCACAAGTTCCTTCTCTTTCACATCAGTAAACATTTTTTAAACATGTTTAAATACTTTATTTGGCAGTTTAGAGAGGAAGGATTTTCATGTTAGTTTAGTTCACTAATGTTGCTGGATAACTCACATACAGACTTGTATGGATGCTGTCATATGCTTATATACCATTTACCTTTGTAGAGGAATTATCCTGCAGAAAACGGCCAGGGTATCTAAGTGAGGAAATAACTTGATTCAAGAGGCAGCTTTTTGACACCCAAACCATTTAAGTCTCACCTCAAGGAAATTTGCCATGTCCAAAATTTAAAATCAACAGTTAAGGAGGAAAATGGCTGGTGATAGCTGAGATGGAACAGGGTGGCTATGTAATTTTTGAAATGTACCATTTATACAAAATATAAATGTTAATTGTATTGAATTGTTTCATTTTTCCCTTGTGTGCATTTTAGGCAATAATTCTAAAGAGAAATGAAATTCTAAAACTGGGAGTATCTAAACTTAACTTTTGGGTAAGATTCAATGTTTTTAATGCAGTTTATTTAAATTCTACTTTTTATTTCTATAAACTGAACACAGTTAATAATCTTTAAAATGCTAATGATTTATAGGCAATAAATAGCTACTGACTTAAAAATAGCTACTATCTAAGGTAGATAGATACATAAGGAAATAGTCCTTAGCAAGGACTAGAAATCAAATAGCTACTATCTAAGGTAGATAGATACGTAAGGAAATAGTCCTTAGCAAGGACTAGAAATCATTTTCAAGAAGTCAGCGCACGTATTTCACAACTCACTTCCAGGCCACTCTTCCTTTATGTTTCATCCTGCTATATCCACACAGCCTTGCTTTTTAAAATGTGTTTGTCTTGAGTTTCTCTGTTTAGCTTCAATTAACCTTCCCTTCAAAATAATTCGTTTGTAGTTTCTTTCCTGCTTTCTCCTTTTCTTTCCTCTGCATCTATCCATCATCTATCTCTCTTTCCTTCTGCTTCCAACTTTAGACTCTATTACTTTCGTCCTTTTAACATTTTCCTTCCAGTCTCCCAGCCCCTTCTAATTTGAACTCAGCCACTACCTAATCTTTGTTTGGCTTCTTCCCAAATATGCAGATGGATGGCCCATATTACCTCTATGGTTTCCTAGTAAAATAAGTTATTAGGCAGGTAGCGCAACTCCTAAATTCTCTTAATATGAGACAGATGATATTCTTTTTCTCTGGTCTGTGATGTACTTCTATTAAAAAATAAACCCTGGGCCACACACAGTGGCTCACGCCTGTAATCACAGCACTTTGGGAGGCCAATACGGACAGAGAGCTTCAGCCCAGGAGTTTGAGACCAGCCTGGGCAACATGGCAAAACTCTGTCTCTACAAAAAATAGAAAAACTAGTTGGGCATGGTGCATGAGCCTGTGATCCCAACTACTCAGGAGGCTGAGGTGGGAAGATTGCTCGAACCCAGGAAGGTTACAGTGAGCCATGATCACCCCACTGCACTCCATGCTGGGCGACAGCAGAAATGAACTGTATGTTTACATGTTATATATTGAGAGGATAAGTCTGGAAATGTTACAAGTTGAGGAAGGAACCCACAATACAAGAGAACAAAATGGAAGGAGTTGCTGTTTTCTCCTTGTTGGAGGCATTCTCCCATCCTTTATGGTGAAAATATAGAAATATTTGTCCACTAAGTTGTTGAATGAATGATATGATGCTTTTTTGTCTTTTTATTATTATTTATTGGTTCTACCAATTTGACTCTTTACCCAGGCCACCTGTCCTTAGGCATGCAGGCTTTGTAGAAATTCACATATCGACATTACACTTGTAATATATAATTCTTTCACTTGAGAAAAATTGAGCAATTTAATAACTCAACTCAAGAGAAAGTCAGAATTTCAGTTGCAAACTATTGAAAAATGACAATAAATAGAAGAGTGTCCATAAACATCAAAAAAATTCTGCCAAGGCTGCACTCAAAGGAACATTTGCTGTCTTCATTTTCAACAACATTTTCAGTAGTAGACTGGAAAGAACATGAATTGACTAAGTTTTAAATTCAAGAATATCAAAGAAACAAAAAATCTGAGGAGGGAAAAGTTGAGATTTAACCAAGTGTTCAGCTTACATGTTTTTAAGCCTCCCTAGGTATTATTTTCTATTTTTAGCTCTGTATATCTTTGGCAAAAATAAGTATTTATTACACACAACCCGAACAAGGTATTTTTAGATCTAAGTGATTCATTTTAGAGTTTAACGTCAATAGAAGCAAATTCACTGTTTAATGGGAGACTCCAGTTTTTGGTGGCAAGGTAATTATTGAATTGAGCTCATGCTGAAATTTACAAAGGGGAACTTTGTATGTGCCATGAGGCATGAGAATCATTACAGGAAGGGAAGTGGAACCTCCAAGATAATCTAAAGCTCAGTACTAAGGCCAGATAAGGATAGTATGAAAAAGGATATTCTTACTTGTGAGCATAGATTCAAAATTTCACTTAGATTAAAAACATTCCTTACACACAAAAGTATAAAAGATTAGTAACTCAAGAACAGCCATCTATATGACAAAGATAATCCACTTGTGATAAATCTGGCTTATTCTAGGAATCCAAAGATGTTTCTGGAAAATCCAAAAATGTGAATTATCACACTAACAGATTAAAAGAGAAAAATATCTTATGATCATCCCATTAGATGCAGAAAATAAAACTGATAAAATTGAACACCCATTTATAATGAAAACATTTAACACAATATAAATAACAGTTTTCTTAACCCAGTAAAATTCTTCAGCAGTCATTAGTCTTACTGATGATAAGGTATTTAGAGTGTTCTGTTCAAAATCAAGATAAAGATAAATGTGCTTTTTCACATTTTATTAAAGGTCCAAACTAGCCTAGTAATGCAAGAAAAGTAAATAATAGGAAAAGGAAAGAAACTGAAGGAAGCAAAATTTATTATAGTATCAATATTTACCTAGAAAGAATAAAATAATTGACAGACAAAAATTATTAGAAATTAGAAGAATTCAATACCATGGCTAGATATGTTTAATATTCAAAAATCAATTGCATTTCTATTCTTTGGCAACAAACAGAAAGCATTTTTTTAAAAATATGCCTTATGTATTAGGAAGAAAAATGCATAGGATCTGAATGAATCTAACAAAATACATGCAGTATTTGTATTGGGGAATTTATTTAAAATTTTTAAGATATAAATAGAAAAATAAAACACATCTATATGTATGAAGATTCATGTAATGCAGTTCTCCCCCGTTGATGTTCAGATTCAAAGCAATTTCAGCAAGATTGTCTTGCAGGTCACTGTTCACTAAATGATGCTGGAATAGTCTATATGAGAAAAACCGTATGTTATACACAAATATCAGTTCCAGGCCTAGCCGTGTTGAATGTTCCTAAGCTGGATGTCTTTTTGACATGTCTTTATAAATTTATAATGCTCCAGGCTTTTCTTGATTTTCCTTGTGCTAGCCTTGGAATCAGCCATTTTTTCCTAGGATCCCTGGTTCCTTTTAGAGGAGAATGGTATTTGGACACAAGGCCTGAGTGGTATGTGCACTCGTTACTACCAGTGTGTCCTTGCTTCTAGGCCCTTTCACTGCATGTATGTGCACACGTGTGTGTGTATGAAATCATGATTTCATAACTATAGCTCCAAACCCAGCCCAATGCTATAGAAAGGCAGCCTAGTTAGGTACCTCAGAACTCACAGAAAAACAGCACAAGCTGCCATCTCCTGAAACTCCATCCAGTGGCAGAAGACACTCAGAAAGAGGGTCCAGGGAAATGCTCTCCATCCTGTGGGTCTGGTATCTACTGTTCCCTCCAGGGAGGCTGCCCATGCAGGTAGCAGCAGCAGGGATCTAATAGGTGCCTTGCTCGGACTAGGCAGCCCAGGAAAGAGCCCTCTGCCTCTGCCAACTCACTACCCCACAATCCTGGTGTCTCTCACCCTCCACCTCATGGCAACAGAACTTGGGAAGTACATTCTTCCTGCATCAGCAGCATGATTTGGGGCAGAGACAGAGTACCAGGGCACCAGATGAATCGAGCTGACCAGAATAGCACTAGCACTGCAAAGGCTCTGAACACTAAATGTCATTGTAACTATAGCACACAGAAGTAGGCCAGGACTTGCATAATAAACCTAAAAACAAAGTGACTGTCTGCTGAAATAGAAATTTAAAATAGGATCCACAGTCTCTAACATAATATAAAAAATGTACTGGATACAATAGAAAAACCACTCATCATAAGCAAGAATGGAGAAAATAACAACTTGAATGAGAAAAGACAATCAACAGATGTCAACACTGAGATGAATAGGATGTGGGGATTATTTGACAAGGGTTTTAAAGCAGTCATCATAAAAACACTTCAATGAGCAGTTTTAAATACTCTGGAAGCAAATGAAAAGACTATAAAATCTTACCAAATAATTTTTTTTTTTTAAGAACAACTTGGTGATTATAGAACTGAAAAATACAATAACAAATTAAAATTCAGTAAATGGAGTTGGTAGCAGAGTGAATATTATATTACAGAGGAAGCAATCAGTGCTCTTGAAGATAGAACAATAGAAATCTCCCAATCTAAACTGAGAGAAAATCACAGGAAAAAGGACAGAGCCTCCGGGACCTATGGTGTAGTAACAAAAGATCTAATATTTGTATCATCAAAATTTCAGAAGAAATTGAAAAAGAGAGTGGGGGGCCAAACAGTATTTTAAGAAGTGATTGCTAAAAGCTCCCCAAATTTGGTGAAAGACACACCTGCAGAGTGAAGACACTGAACGATTCCCAAGTAAGACAAACCCAGAGAAATCCATGCCAAGATACACTATAAGTTAACTTTTAAAACTAAAAGAAAAAAATCTTGAAAGTAGGTACGGAGAAATGACACATCACCTACAGGGCAAAACTGACTTGAATTGTAGCAGACTTCTCATGTGAAACTAGGGAGGCCAGAAGGTTGTGGCAGAACACTTGTCAAGATGAATTACATATCCAGTGGATGTTTCCTTTAGGAATGAAGGGGAAATAGACATTCTCCAATCAAGGAAAATTAAGATAATTTGTGGCTAGCAGCAAACCTTAAAGAATGGTTAATTGAAGTTCTTTTGTCAGGTTTGTTGAAGACCAGATGGTTGTAGATACGTGGTTTTATTTCTGAGTTCTCTATTCGCTTCCATTCGTTGATGTGCCTGTTTGTACAAGTACCATGCTGTTTTGGTTACTGTAGCCTTGTAATATTGTTTGAAGTCAGGTAGCCTGAGGCCTCCAGGTTGGTTCTTTTTGCTTAGGATTGTCTTGGCTATATGAGCTCTTTTTTGATAGCGTAGAATCAACCCAAATGCCCATGAATGATAGACTGGATAAAGAAAACGTGATACATATACACCATGGGATATTATGCAGTCATAAAAAGAAATGAGATCACGCTCTTGGCAGGGACATGGATGGAGCTGGAAGTCATTATTCTCAGCAAACTAATGTAGAAACAGAAAACCAAACACTGCATGTTCTCACTTATAAGTGGGAGCTGAACACCGAGTACACATGGACACAGGGAGGGGAACAACACACACTGGGGCTTGTCAGGGGAGGGTAGGGGGAGAGAGAGCATCAGGAAAAATAGCTTATGAATGCTGGGCTTAATACCTAGGTAATGGGGCAGCAAACCACCAAGGCACATGTTTACCTATGTAACAAACATGCACATCCTGCACAGATACCCTGGAACTTAAAATTTAAAAAGTTCTGGAAACAAAAAGGAAACGCAAGAAGGAATCCTAGAATATAGGGAAGAAATATAAAACAGCAAAATAGATACACAGAGGGGTAGATATAATAGACTATTCTTCTCATGAGTATTTCCTTTTGTGTACTTTTTTTGCTTTATTTTGTTATTCTTTATTTAGATTTTTAAGTCAAGGATTTAATTCATTTATTTTCACTCTTTCGTTTTTATTGATAAAGCTTTTGAGGCCATGAATTTGTTTCTTATCCTTGCTTTAAATGTCTTCCTTAGTTTCCATGTGGAAATGGTATTTGCCTGCCATGCTGCTGCCATCATTCTATTTTTCACCTTTCTGAATCTGTTTTTGTTTGTCTTCCCCGTGTAGCATAAGTTGAGTCTGTCTTTGCTTTGTGAGATAATGTGAAAACCTTTGTTGTTAAGTTTTATGTGTATTTGACTATATTTGCTTTGTTTCTGTATATGATTCTCTTTTATTTTCAACTTTTTGTATTTAGGAAGGTTACTATTCCTCAATTGTCGCATATTTGAAACTTTTTTTATAACGTCCATACTTAAATGACAGATTAGCTAGATATAAAATCCTTGGTTCTCACTTTTTAAAGTTTCTTAAAAATGCCTCTACACTACTGCTTTGGTTTATATGTTTTTTTTTAACAAGTCTGATGCTAGCCAAATTCTCCTGTCCCTTATAAATTATGTGACTTTTGTGCCTGGAGGTTCTGAGGAATTTTTCTTCATTTTTCATCATTCTACTGAAAGATGTCTTGAGTTAGTTTACCATACCAGATTAATTTTTTCCAGTACCCCCTGGATCCTTTCCAAATGCCGATTCCGGTCTTTTTTTATTTCTGGAAAGTTTTCTTGGATTATAATTTAAACACTAGTTTTGATTCATTGCTCTGGTTTTCTTTTTCAGGCGCTCCAGTTGTAAGTATGTGCCTTTCTTCCATTTCTGCCACGTTCTCTGTTCCTTCTCACTTCTTTCTCTGGTATCATTTTCATTCTTCATCATTGTTTTAGTGCCTTTACTTCAATTCCTTCATTAACTTATTTGAATTTCTTTTTATCATCTTGTGATTTAGTTTTTATTTTTTTGATGATAATCTCCTTTTCTTCCATTCCCTTTCTATGTCTAATAAACTATTTCTTTCTGCTTTTTTCCCCATTTCTGTTCTTGGTTTTTGAATTTCTTGTTTAAATTGCTTTTTTAATATTTCTGAATGCTTGTTTGAGGATATTTAATTCAACTTTTAATTCTGCATAATTTTCTTCTGCTTTGTGGGATTTTATTGTTCAGTGGTGTGGATTTCATTAACTGAAATATTTGACTTTCATGTTTGTTATCTTCTTAAAGAAGCTTTGGATATTTATATAGGCATTTTTTCATCTATTAATTATTTTGTGTTTTCTAGTCCAAGTGCAAACGTCTTCTGAGAATGTAGCATAGTGTGATTTTTTTCAGTGAATAACTTTTTTCTTTTTTTGTGTGTGTAATGGCAGTAGTGATGGATAGTCTTTTGGTTTGGGTTCTTGTTTTTCCTGCTGGATACTTTTTCCTTTTTGCACTCCCCTTTTTTATCCTCCTTTCTTTCCAGAAATGATGACTTTCTGACATCAGTGTTTTTGGCCCTACTCACTCTTAGGCCCTGCTCTGTACTCCCATTTACCAATCTCACAGGGCTCTTTTTACACATAGGGTGGACTTTTCTCTTTCTTGGGTTATTTTAGTTCCAATTTTGACCCCTGTCTTTCCTTTTCTTCTTTATCCTTTTGTGGGTCTCCCCTCATTCTCTGCAAAGGCTTAGGTCAGGGACTTGAGGTATAACTCTATATATTCGTTGCTTCCTTTTCAATTCATAGGTAATTTGAAGTTTGTGCTGTTACCTTTTCTCCATATATGAGGTTGTATTGTTCTACTTGGTTGATATATACAAAGATTTGAATTTAGGCTGCTGTAACTTTCCCCAGGCTAACCAGAAGTGCACAATTGTTCCCTTTTTAATCAAGGCTAGTCAAAAAATCAACAATAACACAGAAGCCTCATTGCCATTCTAGTTCATATTCCTGTTTCTTAAAGGAAAGCTTAAGTTTTCACATTTCAAACTTATTTCTTGAAGATAGGCTCATATATTTCCACAGGAGTGGTAGAAGAACTTTTAAGGTAGTGTTTTAAAAAATGGATTTTCAGCTGAGAAATAATGTTTGGAAACAAACACATAAACACTCCCTTTTCTTAACAGAAATCAAAAGGAAGTAACCTTTTAAAACTTCCTTTAGATTTAGGATATGTATAAGCAGCCACTTTTCCGACGCACACGGGGTTTTCTCTTTGTTCAAATCCTCCCTCCCTCTGTCTCTGTATGGGAAGCTATTTTCTTTTTCCTTCTTTCATTCTTACCTATTAACCTTTCACTCCTTAAGACAAAAAAAAAAAAAAAAAAAAAGATTTAGGAGATGTAGAATTCTAATGTTGCTATATATTTTATACCAGTGTCATCAGTTTTAATTCTTTGCTTTTAAACAAGATTTTCCAAAGGAACTTTTAAAAAAAACTCACCATTTATACCTCACATAATTAAAATTTTTATATGTCATTTATAGATATAATTGAATACTTTAACTGGGTGATTTGTAGTTTTAAATACTGGACTTCTCTTTTATTTTCTAGCTAATTCAAGGTAGTGCCTGGTGGTTTGGAACAATCATTTTGAAATTTCTGACATCCAAAATCTTAGGCGTTTCAGACCACGTAAGTACTTTTTAGTTAAAAACATGAAAGTTCTTATAAATGTGTAGCTGAATGAAAACTTTGAAGCCATCTATTCTTACCTCTTCATTTTACAGAGGTTAAGCGTCTTCTTTAAGGTCTTTAGACGAGTTACTGGCAGAGTCAATAATAAAATCTTGCAGTTCAGTGATCTTTGCAACCCACTAAAAAGAAAGAATATTCATCAATGCTGACTTGGCCTTTCAGGAAAAAAATACTAATAGTTCGTTAAGTAGTTATTTGTTTATATTTCAGTAAAAATACAAATAATTAGTTGTTTACATCGTAAGTTATCCATTTATTGCAGATGTTAACATATGGGAGACTGTCTTCAGCTTTGAAAACATAGAACTCTTAAAATCTCAGTATTGTTTTATTTATTTGTAACTGTGGACTAAAATCAATGTATGATTTGATGTTTTAAGGCCTTTCTTGTTATATAAAAAGAGAATGTTAAAAAATTTTGATCTTTTCATTTTCTAGGAAATACATGCAGAGCATTTCTCTCTCATGTGGTATTCTGTTTGTTAATGTCTTAAAGAGTAGCCCTTTTCAAGGCCTAAGTCCCTGCTTAACTAACTGGTTTGGGGAATAGAAAACAATGCATGAATCTACTTTTTATTTCTAGCACTTTCTGTTTAGAAATAAGCATACATGAGTATATCGTACAATAATCAATTTTGAAATTTACCTCATTTAATGCTATCCAGTTAGGGCCCTGTTTGGTGCTGAAATTATGTACTTTGGCAAGGGTTTATAGTATTACTTCTCTAAAAGGTCAAATGCTATCTCTATGCAATATAACATGCAACATGTTTATATTACATAAAATTTCTAAATGTAAGTGTATGCCATTTATTGCTAGCTTTGCATGGTGGTTTATTAGTTTATTTGTTGCTGCTGTTTTCTGGTATGTCTGACACATTTCCCCATTCTCCTTTCCTTTTTATTGTTTTTAACTTTATTATATATGTCTTATGATAAACTTTATTTAGATCTTCTAATTTATTTAAGTTTGTTCATGATTATGTTTCTTGACTTACTTCACACTTACTTCACATTGACCCCCAGCTCTTTACAAATCTGTTTTGTTTTTTTTTTTTTTTGAAACACAGTCTCACTCCGTCACCCAGGCTGGAGTGCAGTGGCCAATCCTGGGTCACTGCAGCCTCCACCTCCTGGGCTCAAGCGATTCTCGTACCTCAGCTTCCTGAGTAGCTGAGATTATAGGCACATGCCACCACGCCCGGCTAATTTTTGTATTATTAGTAGAGATGGGGTTCCAACATGTTGACCAGCCTGGTCTCAAACTCCTGACCTCAAGCAATCTGCCTGCCTTGGCCTCCCAAAGTGCTGGGATTACAGGTGTGAACCACCACACCTGCCGTACAAATTAAAAAAAAAAAATACAAACACACTTCCTTGGTAGTCCTGAGTGACTTCCTTTATGTGACAGTTATGAGGAAGACCTGAAATTATAGTGGTTTGGTTAAATTAACTGAATGAAAACCACTGATAATCATCAAACTTGTTATAAAATAATTCCTATCCCTATAAAATAATTTGAATTAAGAGTTTACTTGCCAAATATTTTCCTTTTTCTGGCCTTCTGAGGATGCTGTGGAAAAATAATTGTCTCACCAAGAGCAGGTTGTAAATAATCAGTAGAAAAATAGAAGTTCTGCATTGGGTTTGGTTGTTGGTATCTATTTTTAGCCTTGGAGATCAAATAGCTAAGTCAAAGATCAAAGTGGTATGTATAATTGTTGTAATTCTTATGAGGATCAGTTCTCATATTCAGTGGTTTGAATATATGTCTGTAAAACATCAAGAAGTACCAAATATTGTAATCAGTCTGTGAGGTTTTGTGAAAATGACAGTGCACAGAAAGCTTATGACCTACAATGTATGTTGAAAGAGATTAAGTAAAATAGTTTTTCATCATAAATTGTTGTATTATAAAGTGTAATTAACTACATGATGGTTTCTTCTCAGCAGATATTTATTTTAGCTCACTCTTTATTATATTCTCTCTATTTTTTCTGTCTTCTTTCTACTTTTCATTTTTCATGATATTTCTCTTTATTTTCAGTTATCTTGAGAAGTCAGCGCATCGTATGTTTGGTTCACTGTAGTTTTTTGTTTTCTTAGAGGGATGTCTAAATACATTGGATTTATCTGCTCTATAAACTTTGTTATTCTTACATCAATAAAGTATTACTGGCTATAGGCTATAATCATTTGTGTAATTTTAATTAATTTTACTTTATTTTCTCCCAGATTCGCCTGAGTGATCTTATAGCAGCCAGAATCTTAAGGTATACAGATTTTGATACTTTAATATACACCTGTGCTCCTGAATTTGACTTCATGGAAAAAGCGGTATGAATGTTTCTTTTCTCCTTCTCTACTAATAGGAGTTTTTGCTCTAGTTTTAATCTGAAACTCAACATTTTTACTCAGAAACAGTCAACTTATTTTATATATTTTTTTTACTGTAACTTTTGCTAATCTAACTTCCTCACTTGTTTTTTTGTCTCTTAAAAAAAAAAAAGATAGCCTCTATCTTATAGAGTTATTGATGATGGTTAAATGAGATAATCTGAGAAGAGTGTTTAACATACAATATGACCCATAATAATTACCATTACTACAAATCAATTTTAATAATCTAGGCCAATAAGAAATATGGGACCATTCAGGAAAAAGTCTCAATTCTTGTTTCTGTTTTTAAGAAATTCAGTTTTATTACAGTTAACACCCCAAATATTATAACATTTTTAACAAGGTGTTACCAAGAAAGGTATGCTACTGATGAGTTTTAATGAACATATAAAAATTCATTTTAAATTATACAAATGCAAGGTATTCTTTTTAAAAAGTTCATGTTATAAAGCTTTAAAATATAGGCTGGATGTGGTGGTTCATCCCTGTAATCCCAGCCCTTTGGGAGGCCAAGGCGGTTGGATCACTTGAGGTCAGGAGTGGAGACCAGCCTGGCCAACATGGTGGTAACCCCATCTCTACTAAAAATACAAAAATTAACCAGGCATGTTGGTGCATGCCTGTAGTCCCAGCCTGAGTAGGAGGCTGAGACAGAAGAATTTCTTGAACCCAGGAGGCGGAGATTCCAGTGAGCTGAGATCGTGCCAATGCACTCCAACCTGGGTGACAGAGTGAGACTCTGTATCAAAAAAAAAAAAGGCCTCTTGGTAGAATCATGGAACACAAGATCAGGAAGGGCTCCTAGAGGCCATGCCATATAGTTCTTTCATTTGCAGATAAAGAAAAGTTTAAAAGATTTGCCTAAAGCACACACAAGCCAAGATCAGGACATGGATTCTAATCGATTCTAGAACTCTCAAACCAGGGCTCTTTCCTCTATCTGAAACTTAATTTTTTTCATAGAACATAACAAAGTTGCTACTGGATTGATTATTCCTTGTGTGATCATTATGAATTCTGAATTAGTGGTATATAATAAAATTTTACATTCTTCTCTTATCCATCCAACCAGTCATCCATTCATTCAAAAACTATTATTGACCACTAGTTATCCGTGAGGCAGTTTGCTATAGCACTATAAAGAGGAAAATGAACTGGTTTCTTGCTTTTAAGAAATGTGTAATTTAGTTACATTGTAAATTACTCCTTATCACAATAACAGGTCATCAGAATTAGTTAGCCAATGTTATTTCTGTACTTATTCATAGTTTTAGTAATTAACTTTGGTTAGCTTTCTTTCTTGTTAGCTCTAGTTTCACTAATGAAAATAATGGAGCTTTGTAGTACAGAAAATTACAATGTAGGACCCAGGGATGGGTAAACACACATTTTAAAACTTAGTATTATGTAAATTAAAAAAAAGAAAAGAAAAAAATAGATATACCAATTCTAGTTGTATTAAAATAAATTTTTCATTAAAATTTTGGAATACTTTTTATAAGTATTTTTGTAATTTTAATTATTTTATTAAGGCATGGAAGACAATAAATATATATGCTGCTGGTGACAAAGAAATTTTACCTTTTACTTTTAAGGAATGTTATCATGGCACTTAGTTTGACATAGATGTTTACTAATTTAATGTAAAATTCGTAAGTAACTATTTTGAATAATTTGGTATATTTCAGACTCCGCTGAGATACACAAAGACATTATTGCTTCCAGTTGTTATGGTGATTACATGTTTTATCTTTAAAAAGGTATTTTTAAACAAATTATTATTTGTTTGTGGCATCAATATAAGGACTATAATAATGCAAATTGCTCAGAATTCCATGTTATTTTTAGGATGAACTCTTTCTCTCTTTCAAAGTTTGTTTTTTATTTAGATATTTCATTATCGATCTTTTTATAAAAAGCCATGATAAAAGATATTCTTATTTTTTCTTTCAAAAGATACATACCAGTCACCAGCTGTGTATCAAGGACTACATTAACATTGTAGGTACACCCGGACAAATAAAACGTGGCCACTCCTGTCTTGGAACTTACAGTCCTGGATTATTGGGGGTGGGGGTACAGACATGAAGCAAATAATCGCACAAATGTCTAAAGAATTAAAATTTTTATAGGTACTATGAAAGAAAAGTCCTTGACAACAACATTAGTGTCTTTCAAATATGAAGCACAGTGAAGTCTTGATCTATTTTGAGTGGGCCTGCGTAGAAGAAATTTGTATAGCTAATTAAAAAATATTTTTCTACATGTTCACTGTTTTCATGACAGAAGAAAAGAACATCTCAATGAAAGAGATAATCTTCAAAATACCAGTGGCAGGTTTTCTTGGTCTGGGTAGAGTTTATCTAAAAGCATGGTTAAAGACAGTGGGGGTTTTTTTTCTTTTTTTTTTTCTTAGCAGTCTTGAGCCATCTTTATTTATATTATTTACAAGCTATCTTGTCTTAAGCCAGTATGTATTTATTTTATACTTTTAAGCAGATAACAATAATGTGATTTCCCTACCACTATACCAGTTGTGTTCTTGTTGAAAGGAGTTTTCTGTATTTAAAGTCAAATTGCATATCTTCCCTATGTAGTTTTAGTTGCCACACTTCTCACTCCTTTGTTTACACATAGATGTGAATAATTTAAGAGTGGGAAAGGTATCTCCCTCAACATCTCTGTTGTTTTACCCTTGATCCAGTTCCCTGGGGACCACGTGGAATGAGTCAAGATAAAGAAAACAAGGAGGAATGAGTAAAATGTGAGCAGGTTTACTGCCCTGCATCCTTTCGGCCCATGCTGGCTTAGAATGAAGATTTTCTCTACTGACCTGTTTTTTTTCCATCAAGGCAAAATGTCAAGTTATTCTTATAAGGCTCCACTTAGAGGGGCCAATGCACGCATTAACTATTCAGCGGAGAGTCAGCCAATGTGAGAGAAACTGATAGCTAGATCCGCAACTGCTATATTTAAAAAAATTAAGATCCAAGACTTATAAATACATTACTAGTCTCCAAACACGCCACATCCTGAACTATGCATGTGCACTAGCAGGGGCATGTGCGTACACACACACACAAACACATGCACACACACGTCCCTGCAGCCACCCACGTTTCATACACACACACATGCACACGCACACACACACACAAACATCTCCTGCAGCTAGCACAAGTTTCACTACACACACAAACGCACAAACATCCCGGCAGGCTTAGCCAAGTTCATACACACATACACACTTACACACACACCCTAATTCCTGTAGCCCGGCCAAGCTCATACACACACATCACACACACATACTCTCTCTCTCTCTCACACACGTCTCCTCTCTCCTCTCATCCCTGCAGCCAGCCGCCAAGTTTCCACTCCTTCCTTTCTGCTTTCTTAAACTCCTCAGTCTTATATTTTCCTATTGTGGCTTATTTTTCACCC